AATTCCTTACCTGTTGCAGTGTTGTTCAGGAAGTATAGGGCCTGAGTCCATAGTATTTTTCGCCTCCTATTGGAGCGATGGGGATATCCAGAAGTGGATGCTTTTACCCCTCAGACGAATGCCAAGACACAATTGTTCTTTCCTGAACCCAAGAGATGGAGCAGTTGCCTTTGATGCTCTAACAAATCTTTGGAGGTTCAGTCCCCGTTATGCCTTTCCTCATATTCATCTCCTGGCTAGGGTTTTTCAAAAATTATTTCAAGAAGATACATGTAATCCTTGATTGGCTCAAAAGGCCATACTCTTTTTCTCTTCTTTCTCGTCAGCATGCTTTCATGAGTCCTACCAGACGGGGCAGATTGATCTTATGTGGCCCCATTCTGCATGCTCTGATTCAGTCACTAATACTGTTTGCCTGGTTTATGAAGAAGATATCTAAAGGCTGGACCGCTTTCATCAAAAATAATCAAAACTTTAAAAGTCCTAAGCCGGTTACAAGTGCCATTTAGAGATAAATACATTTTCAATATCTGTTTCAACTCTAATAACAAAATGAGCAATATTTCTTCTATTATGGAATACTCACAAAGGAAGAAATTGCTCTCAAGGTTTAAAGGTCTGCACTTGGGTTTTTCTAAAGATATCCTTATAGGAAAACGCAAATCAAAATTATTCGATTATGGCAAAATGAGACCTGTGGTGGTTTTTGGTTGGAAAATGGGATTTATTCTTAGTCCTGCATGTTGTTGTTTTCAAATCTCCCTCAGAGCGTCTGGCATGTACTTAACTTGGGCTCAATTCACACTTAGGCCATTTGTTGCTCAATGCTAAGCACAGCAAAACCCTCGAAGGAATCCCTTTCATTTCTATGGCTCTGTTCATATGTGAGCATTTTGTTGCTCACATATGAACATTGAAGTCTATGGGACCATAAGTAGCTCGTGTGCTTTTTTTCTGCGACACGCCTTTTTCTGCTTGTGACAAAAAGCTCAGGTGTTAAAAGGAGCCATAGAAATTAATGGGATTCCTTGCCTTGAGAATTTTGTTGCTCTTATCTTTTTGAGCAACAACTCCTAGGTGTGAACGGGGGCTTAGTTAGGCTCATTACTCAAGATTTTGCTACTGATTGCAGTCACTTCTAGCAGAGTTAGCATATTACAAGCCCCATTCATTGAAGAACCCTTGCTTTCCATTTTTAGATCACATCATTTTTTTGACTTTATTCTTTTATATTCACATAATGTCCTAGAAGAATGGGGGCAAACTAGATTTATTGGTAACTATTTCCTGTAGTCTTGCAGGACAGCAGGCGAGACGCTTCTTTTTTTTTTGTTGTCCTGCTTCAGTGTGTGAACTGCTACTTCTCTTTTTTCCCCCCAGCTCTTGGGACCCCTTTTATTTTAGGGTCATCCTCCCTGGAGTCTTCCACAACTCCATAGCTTGCAACTGGAACCTCATACTGTTTATGTACACAACACCTTTAATAACCACCTTGGATTATTTATTGCTCTCTGCACGATTAGTGACACTAAACTCATGAGTGAAATCTTAAAAATGCATTTAACTCCATGACTGAGGCATTTTTTTGCCCCCATGTTATATTCCACAAATATAAAATTACTTGAACCCCCCAAACATTATATATTTATTGAATGCCAACGAGTAAAACGATACCCAACATGCCCAGTTTACAAATTGCGTACGTCCGTGAAACGGCGATAAACTGCAGTACCCCAAAAAGTCCATAGACTCTTTAAAAGCCCCCACAGGTCATCAATTTAGAGATACCCCAAAATACTGGCCCTAGGCGCACCCGACGCGTGTTTACGTGGCAACGCGAGGTGGGCGGGGGACTTTAAAAATGTTTTTTTCATAATTTTTTTTATTTTTAGAACTGTAAGCCCCCCCATGTGATAGCAGATGGTGGTGACAGGTACTCTTTCAGGTGATGCTGGGGGTCCAAAAGACCCCCAGTGTCACCGTTACACTAGAAATAAGCTATTGAAGTGCAGATCGCATTTCAATAGCTTATAGCTGGGCTGCAGTAGCCCAGAACTGACAGCCCAGGGACCGGAAGTGATGCAATCTGCATCGCTCCCGGTCCCATAGAACGTGGAGGGGATCGATAAACGGAAGTTCGTCTATCTCCTCCCCAGCTCCCCGCGGACACCAATGAAGCCGGTCCCGGGCCCGTAAGAGGGGCCCGGGAAGCACGGCGGGGGGCGTCCCCTTCTTCGGGACACAGAAGCGATCTGGCGACAGGCAACTCGCCAGAATCTCTTCTGTTGTAAAGCCGACAGTCGGCTTTACAAGTTTAAACAGAGTCCCGGGGGCAAAAGCCACACTCCTCTCTGTAACTGAATACGCTCTTAATTTTCCTAAGCTGCATTACTTCCCGTCCTGTTCCAGTATGAGGGATTTGGTGCCTTGCTTTAATGGCAACCGGCTTCCTCTACTACCTTGAGAGTCTGACAAAATCATACCTGCAAAAGCCGCTGGGAGTCTGTTTAAACAGCCCCGATGCTGGCGACGTACACTGTACGTCGTCAGTCACGAAGGGGTTAAACACCTTTTAAAAGGAACTATCTTTTTTGCCCTTAGTTTTGTTTAGGGTCTCATGGGGACATTTACTAATGTCCTCCTCTGACACAACTCGGCCTATAGCGGGCTATTGCCTGCTGTATGCTGACAGTGCAGAGCTGTTTTGCGGCCGGGCATGATTCCAGCAATATCCCACCACTCTTTGCAGGGAGAAGATCATGAACTTGAGTGTTCAGCGATATGTAATCGCTTAGTTCTCAATTAATAGAGACGATGTGTGACAGATTCAGTGTCACAGGTCGGCTTCAACTATGGGGATGACTGTATTTCACTCTGCCCATAATTCTCTAACTAACAAAAATGTAGATTATTTGTGCATCACTCATCTGTAGAGTGCTGAGATGACTTGATGAACTACAGCCCAGTAGTGCACATATAAACTACGTTTTTGTTAGGCGTTAAATCTTTAAAATGCATTCATGTGCCTTAAATATAGAGTTTAGTGTCACTTCACCTCCAAGTATGCTTGAGGCCCCAATCTGACTCCTGAATAGCTTTTTATTTCAACAAGTTCCACGTGACTCTATATTACAAGGAGTACTTGATGATATTCTTCTGATTGCTGCATTATCCACTGCCCTGCAATTGGAGGCTTTGCCTGGTTTTCTTGTTCTTTTGTACATGTTGCTCCTAAGAAGTTTCCCTTTACTCTATTTAAAATCTTCCTTTAGAAGTATTGGGGACAACCTGTGGAATCATGGCTTCCTCCTGACAATGTGAAGAAGCCTTTTTCCTTTGGAAGGGAACTAAATGACCCACTGTAGGCTCTTCACATCAGCAAACATACTTTCAAACAGGAAGATGTTTTACGAATTTCACTTACTGTAATTTCCTCTTTCTTTCTGCCGTTTTCAGCCACAAATCCGATCGCCTACCATCTTTTGGTAGCTCCTATGTGGATGAATCTGATATTTTGGATAATGCATAAAGCCAATCTTTCAGGTCAATCAATGCTTCTTAGTTTAAGAGATTTTAAGTCAAGGCAGGTTTTATCCATTATTCCTTTTCCTTGGATGGATTCTCCTGATGGATAAATCCATTTTCTGTACCCTTGCTGTCTGGTTGGAAGTTTGTCGGTCAGTCTTTGCAAAACTATCTTCACTAATCAACTGACGGCAGCAGCATTTTCTTCTGAAAACAATTTGGTGCGTTCTTTCAAGTGACTGGATGACTAATTCCCTACTTTATGCAGTGCTGGACTTATATTTCGCATCCATAATGTTTTCCCTTTCTACTCTCAAATGTTGCTTGGCTACAGAATATTACGGACATAGTGTATACCTGGAAATGTAAAGAACCTAACCCTTTTATTGACCCTTAAGGCTAATTGTCCCAGAAAATGAATTATCTCCTGATTCCTATTGGAAAAATATTTTCATATCACATAATCGCTAAATAGCTAGACAATATAACTTATGACTTCCCTGATGCACCTTTTGGGCTTGAGATAAAAGGTCTCCTCGCATAACTTTCTATATGGGTGCTGCCGTAGTTCTTTTCCCTATATTTGTCAAATTTGGTATTCCCACCTTATAACAATCGCTTTCAGATCTATTTTTGCATTCTTTGCACACGTTAAAATGCACGCTAAGCCAAGCAATTACTTAGAACTCCCCCATATATTCACTGTGCCTGTAGAAGCTGCTGTAAAGCCGGCAAAATCTATTCTACAAGGAATCTGGCAGTCGGCTTAGGAAAAGTAAAAACTCCCAGCTGCTGTATTTAATAATTTTTTAATTTTATGCAAGCTTACTCACTGCAACCAATGTATTTAATACAATATGCAGCAAAGAGTTAATTTCAGTCATGAGTCTCAATTTCTCCAATGAGTTTGGTTTTTGAAAGAAGTCATACCCATTTCTGTCTTTTTAGAGTTTTTGTACCAGGATACTACGGCCTTTTCTTTCCTCGAGCCGTAGGGTCAAGGTTATTTTGTCTGTTATTGTTTACAAGCCTAGTTTGTGTCTGTTATTGTTAACAGGTTCTTTAGGCCAAGCTGCAATGGAACAGTGTCAACTAACCCCATTCATTTTTTGGGTTACCTTCCATTGAAGAACAGATCGCTTGTGAATGGGGCCTCACACCATCCCATTTACTATCTGAAATTTAAATCAATAGTACCCGCAAAATAGGCAGCTACTGCAGTTGTCTTTGCTAACTTCTAGTACTATTGAAATGCTTTGTAATGTGTTAAATATTTTTAAACAAATCCTACATATATTGGTAAAAATCACACAAAAAACTAAATACTTGTACATGGGACCATCTGCCTAACAAAATTTCCAGTTTTCAAAATGGCTAATTTCACATTCTTGAAATTTGATATGTTGGACTTGATGGACATGTCCTTTTAACATAAAGTTCTTTTGTGTAAAGCTTTCTGTGTTTGCATTCTTTAGGATGACGATGATGAAGATCCAAAGGAAGAGGAGGGTGATGATGATGATGATGATGATGATGGCTTCTTTGTCCCACATGGTTACTTGTCAGATGATGAAGGGGGTGTTTCTGATGAGGTGAAGGTTAACTGTCAATTTCTCCACAATATTAGTAACTATTGTATTCTAGTGCAAAACATTTTTTTGCCCTTTTCACCATGTTGAATGTAAAACTCACTTTCTTTGTTAAAGATTGGGAGGCAAAGAGATTCATATTTTTAAACTGTGGGTTTTACTACCACCTAGAGGAGACTGAACACTAGGCAAAAATACTAAATACCAGCCCCCAGGGCCCATAATTCTTCCTCTAACCATCCTTTTCAGTTTCACTTAAGCTGGGTATACGCGGTTATATTTTCTAGGTTCAACCTGTGGGCTGAACGAAGAAAATAGAACAGATTGCGTTAGCACTTACCAACGTAGATTATGGAATTCCCTGCCGGCTGCTGTCAAAATACCCAAAGAGAGCTTGCAGTTGATTGGCTGCAATGCTCCGTTAGCTTGAAGATTTTCCAACCTGCTTCTTGTCTAATTTGGTCTCCTCAAGGTGGTTTTGGCTTAAATAAAATTATTCAGTCAACATCTGCTGGTAGATTAGGCCAGATTTCTGCAGTCAGCCACCAGGCACAGACTTTTCACAATGTGTATATCATGTAAGTAGACCATGTACAGTTTTGGCTTTGCTCTGGCAGAGGACTCCTGCTGAACTTGCAATTGGTTGCTCCCTAAGGAAAGGGTGCAATCCTTCCCGCTCTTTCCATCCTATGCAGACTTTTTTTCCCCCCCATATCTGTAAGGGCAGCCGCCACTCTAACTCGCTCTGGTTTTGGTGATCTTTCGAACTTTCCTTTAAAACCTTATTGCAGACACTTTCTCTACTGTGGAGACCTGTATTACACAGTTGTCGCAACCTATTTTTTAAATGCATCACAGAAGCTGTAAACACCCTTCTACAGATCTTTAATTATCTTTCTATAATCCCTACCGGAGTGGGATTTTTTATAAAAAATGACTGGTCCAAGGACTAAAGTGGAGCCCAATCTACTTGTTCCTCATGACAATCTGTGTCGTAATACAAACAAAATCTTAACCAAAATCATTTTTAACCATACTAAGAAGCGCTTCTCTTTGGTCAGCGTGGATCGTGCTGACCAACGATTGCTCACAATTTGCAAGTGAAATTCAAAATCTATAGTACAGGATACAGATAGTACACCTGTACCGGGGGAGGGGAAGGACCGTTTGCCGACTTGACAAGTGGTGTGTGGTTTGTGATGAAGAATCTCCTGCACTTGCTGTGTTCTGTAGACTTCTCTCAGCTCTCTCCCTCTCCTGGGTCACATTTACTCTCTGCTGCCCCAAGTCCAGGTTCCTCAATGTGACCACTCCCCCCACCAGTCTTCTCATTTACAGATATCAGTGTTAAAACAGATAAAAAGACACTAAGGGGAGATTAATCAAAACTGGAGCAAACCGAATCTGGAGCTGTTGCCCATGGCAACCAATCAGCATCTCTCTTCAGTTTGCTCAGGTAAGATTTGAAACAGAGGGAGAGAGATGCTGAGATGCTGCACTGGTTGCAGTGCACATCTGCTCCAGATTTTGATAGATTCCCCCCACACAACGGTGATGTGTGGGGTCACAGAGGATTGTTTGGTGTCATATGGGATGTGCAGGGGTCACTGGAACTTATTTGGGGTCCCTGGGGTTGTGTGGAGTCACCGGAACTTATTTGAGGTCCCTGGGTTTGTGTAGGGTCACCGGAGATTGTTTGGTGTCATCAGGAATGTGCAGGGTCACCGGGGATGTATATCGGATATGTATATCT